CGACAGTTTCATAAATCATTCTCAATGATTAGTGCACCATTTTGTTTAGTATTTAAGGACAAGAAAATTGAACAATTCTGCATGATTCATTGAAAAAATCATGGAAATTGGGCTAAAATTGACCTCACAATAAGATTTTATAAAAGTAAGTTTTTCAATAAAATATACTGTGAAAATGCAACTATGACTCACTTATGGCCATATACTTATCTTGTGTTTATACCTGCCCTACTTTCAGTTCATATTTTATGACACAAAATCTGAGATTATGGTGTTGCCATGCTTGTTTGATAAAACATCAGAAATCCAAGGGTAAAATTATAAGAAAATATACTTCACTCCAACTGCTACTCACTAAATTCACAATCTACATCTGAATTTACATTTTCTGTGCATATCATCCTGAATATACAAATCATCAAGGAAATTTCAGTCAACACCTCTTTTTATCTCTTTTTCATATTCAATCTACCCTACACTGATCATCAAAACTATAGAAAACTTTCATTTCCCTAAAATGTGATGACAATTATATTACTGTGAAAGAAAGTTGTGGAATGGAAGTCCCAAATGAAATCAATATCATGTGCAAATTAATTTGCATACATTATCCTACATACTTCCATATCTGTGCATTCTATATTTCTGAAATCCTTAGACTACATTGATATTAATCGTATTTTACGTATTTCAGAGAGACAAAATTTGTAGCAAAGGATTATGTGCACTTTCTTGGTGGAAAAATGGTCACATGCTTTTGTCCAATTAGAAACGCAGGTTCCTGACGATAAGTATTTACACATTTTCTGCAAATTACTGACATCAAATTGATTGAGACGTGGACATTAACACGAGACTTACATCAGAAACCTCGTCATCATCACTTATGTCTTGGCCAAATGTTGACTGCGAGGACTGTATGGCTTCGTTTTTCTCTAGCGATGGATACGGTACTGTCTGACTACCTTGCTCGATTTCGACAGTTCTAATGTTTTTATTTGTTGATACATTTTCATCTGAGGTAACATTCTGCATTGTTGCGATCAAACTTATCTCAAAAACATAAAATTATTACGTTTCGTTCGATTCAAACTTGTTCTTGGTGTGCAATTCTCCTCATGCTAAGTTGCCACCTTGACCGCCATTACCAATGTTCCATTGCAATGTCCCGGATGAACATATGTGCGCAGGAGCAGACAACTAATAAATTTTCCGGAAGCATGCGTGCGATGTGGGAAGTGCGCATTTTTTTAAAATCGAAAAACCAATTTTCAATACACATTTCACTGAAATGCAAATAGTTCAATAAATATTCGTCAATGTTTGGATGAGGCGAACAAATGTCAGACATGTGGCGTCGGCCCAACAACACCTTGGTCCACGGACATTTAGCTCAACGTCACTTCGACCGAAAGGGCTGGGCCCAAGGCTATTGACAAATCGGCCGAAAATTAAAAACTCAGGGGCCTGTTTTACTAAAGAACTTGCGGCTAAGAACAACTTAAGTTGTTTTTAAATTTTTGCCAAATCAATCATTCTGTGTAAAATTGCTAACGTAAAAGTATAGTCCTTCTACATTACTCTTAAAAAAAACAAAACATTAATTTAATGATTTTCAATGTAAATAAAAGTTATAAGGAAGTTATAAGCCGAATTCCATTTTTGGTCTTAGTCGTAAGTTCTTTTGTAAAACGGGCCAAAGGCCTGTAGCAACAGCTTCAAAAGGGGACCACCCACCCCCACCCCCACCCCCAAAAAACGTAAACTGACCAAAATTATTTGACAATAAAAAAAGCTAATTTACTGTCCAAATCCTGGAATTTGCCAGTGTTTGGCCTTACAACTTAAAAAAAGTGGGGAGAGGGACCAATAACCCAGCCGCGGCATTCTACGGGCCTGAAAGTAGCCGTCCATCACTATGATAACTTCAACCCAATGTGCAAGTTGGGTAAAATTTTGAATTAAACAAATAATAAAAATAAATCATATGTTGAGCAGAGGTGTCTTGAAATTTCGGCCGAGACGTCGGGCTAGCGCAACGGCCTCAGGCAGTTTTCGTGGTTGACGTGATCATGTCTCTTTATGAGATTTGATCACATGACCAACCACTATTAGTTTTAAAATGATACCTTTTTTCTTAATAAAGTCTAAAAAAAAAAAAAAAAAGAACTGGGGGGGGGGGGGGGTGGAGGGTCACTATTGTTCTCCAGGAGGGAGTCAGCCTTCAGGGGGAAGTCTCAAGCTATGTCACTGGTACTGGCAAAATTATATTGGGGGAGGGGCGGATCAAGGTACTTGCATTTCCAATTAAGATACTTTGATTTTAAATATATATCACTGCATGAGTTAAAATTTTAAGGTCATATGTCTTCAAAGTTGAAGATGGTGATTGAATTTACTAGAATTTCTTCATTCTTCAATTTAGTTAAGTAATTACTAATTAGTATTTCAAACGACAGAAAGTGTCTGATATTTTCAAGGTGCTATCTTACATTTTTAAACCAAAAACTGGTCCCATATTTATAAGCTACGATTATTCGATTCGGTCGATTAAGACATTCCCTTGTCCCACCATTTTTTAGGAGGGAAGTACGAAAGAAATGCTTCAAAGATAATGATTATTTTATTTTACTTAGCTTACAGAACTAATAACTAATATCCAGTTCAATATCCCTCTTCAATTGTGTGTGTGTGTGTGTGGGGGGGGGGGGGGGGTTATAGATCCTTTGTCACAAGAGAGATAACTCGCTAATTCATAAATCTTCAACTTACAACTTGTTTCCATTTTCAGTGAAGTTTACTGAAGAACTGCGCCTACCTCCAAGTCAATTTTCAAAAGTTAACATATTTGAATGATTTTTTCATAATTATAGAGATATTTATATGAAGTTTCATAAAACACTAGTTCTTTAAGAAAAGAAAGAGAGATAACTCTATAATTTTGGTAAAACTTGTGTTTTTCACTATAGAAATCAACGGAAAACGGAAAATATTTTTAAAACATCTTCCCCCCCCCCCCCCCCCGAGAAACAAAAATTCCTTTTTACAGGTAATATAGACTGTCAATTTACAAATTCGTACCAAAGCTTTTTGTGTTTCACAGGGGGGAACATATATCTACAGACAAAAAAGTACAAAAATTCTTATTTTTTCACCAATTTCAAATGAGTTTACAACTAAAACATTGTATTTTATTTATGATATATGCTTAATTTTATATGCTTAAAACATAAGAAAAGATTTAAGGAACATTTATTCATATCCAAGAATATTTTAAAATGTGATGATGCTTCAAAGCCCGATTTCAATGGAAAATATTGTCTACCCCCCTTTTTTAAATTGCTAGAATTAGGGGTAATTAACTATTTAACACTGGTATTAAAATTATCAGTCAATTACCATTGAACTAGTCTTTGCATTCAACAAAGATTTTACGGCCAAAATCATTAGTATTGAATTAAATGGGTTTAAAATGTAGGCGGGAATCGAAAGTTAGCGTGCATAGTCCTTTCATTTCTACCTCCGTCTTCTGTCCCGTTTTACTGAGCAAAAATGCCAAATGCATGGTTATTTTCCCGTAACATGATTAATTCGCATGAACAAGGTGTTCTTCGGTGAATATGAGGCGTCTGAGGGTGTTTTTCTATCTGATAAATGTGAAACAGAAAACTAAAACGAACGACAAAAATCAACAAAAAACATAAACAAAACAGTAAACTAACAAAAGAAATTACCAAAAGGGAAACAAACAGACAAAAAGGGGGGGGGGAAGTAGAAGCAAACAAAAACAACAACAAAAGACAAAACAAAGCATCCAATAAACTTAACAAAAATATATTTGTATTTCAGTGATTTAACTAGTTCCTTCAAAACTTCAGTCAGTTACAGGATCGAAAACCCGATCCCCCACCCCCTTCCTCACACGCACACACACTTTAGTTTTGAATTAATACAGCCTGTCCAAAGTTTTGCACATACAAAAAAATCATAATACACTACTACAAACTGCAGTAAAAATCTGCGTTAATTTACTTGTTGTCTAAGATTCGAAGAGTAATCTTGTTTGTGCAAACAAAAACAATATATTACAAAGCATCTTTCAATCGTTTTAATCTTTTTTCCCCAATCATTTGATTTTAATGGCATGTGGAAAATTAGTGCAGATTTCCTCTTATATAAAATATCTTGACCACAAAACGGCTTTTTTTTTTCAATGTATAAAATCCAGATAATTGACAAAATTCCTGAGGAGTGGCGTCAATTATCTGCCAGCCGCCATATCCAGGTAGACCCAATTCAAAAGGTAAAATCTTGAGATGCTCAGATTAAGTGGGGTGAATTTGTCAGTTTGGAACTGTATAGTAAAACAATCATCAATACTCACGTTTTTCCGAATAAAATGTTTGTAATACAGTTTTTAACATTACTACAGGTACAATGAAAAATGGGGACGACTTTTCGTACTAATTAAACAGTATATCATTATGTTCGGACCCCTCCCCCCCCCCCCCATACCACGTGCCTGTCCAGATCTATGATTGTAGCACTGAATAGCTTCAAACATGGAGTGTCAGTCGTTCTAGTAATTCTGAAGGAATGCAAAGTTTGGTCATTGCTTGTTATAGATTTGTTTATAGAGACAGGCTCATGCACCTGAATCTTCTGTTAAAAAGGTCTCAGTTAATAATTGCTGGTCCAGCCATGTGCCACAGAAACAATGCCCTCAGAAACGGGACTAATCAAGTGTTCAATTGAAGGTTCTTTAATTACAATATGTTATCTCAAGAGATCAAATGTCTGGCATTTGTGGAAACATGTCTATCGATACACCACTGAGAGGTTTGTGCTCCTTTTACTATATATATTCTATCAAATTTCAAACGTGTATTGCAGGTTTTAAATACGTTCACCTACGCGCTTAATTTCTCCAAGACAAAGGAAACAACAACTGAAAGGACTCTTCTTTGACGAGTCAATGGACTGTTACTTTTCTCTTACCAACTGTGCTAACAGTAATGTGTTTGGAGGAAGGGTCTGAAATGTCGTTTTCAAGCACCTGTTCCTGAACGAGATTTCCAATGTTGGTGTGCCTGTGTTTTAGGGAAAAACCAGAGGAGATAATTGTCAGAACAAAGGTAGGTAGTGGCCAATAGCCCGGTGCTTCCGTGGAAAGTCCCGACAGCCCCTCTACAGCAGTGCTAAAAGATAGACATTGTTAGAATATTCATATAAACGGTAGAATTCACAATCTGTTTTCAAAACTACAGATATATTGCAATATATTAGTGAAAAGGCATTGAATAGTTGAGTTTGTAATGAGGATTGTTTTTCCTCTGTCAGATGGGACATGGTGCCAGCAGCTCTGTTGGTAAGGGGGGCGGGATACCGACTCTGTACATTTACGGACTAAGTGCCCCCGCCAGAGCAGCATGGATGACGGCCAAGGCTGCTGAGATTCCAGTCCACCTCAAATACATCGACCTCTTTAAAGGCGAACACAAGACGCCAGACTTTGCAAAGGTACCTGCGTTTCCAATTAACAATTTGAAACAAGTGCATCTACACACAATCAATCAGCCCATACTTTTTATCTGTTAAAGATTGATATTTTATGACCCACATAATGATATGATCTTGACATTTAATCTTGGAGTCAAAGTTGTATTTCGGAGAGGGGGGGGGGCTCCCCGGCAAGAAAACATGTGGGGTATATAACTTTAATGACACAGAAGTGTCTTGAATCATCAGGACATCCGGTTGACTATGCACTTTGAATTAATTTGAAGGGAAAACTTGTGACATTGTTCTAAAGCAACATTCATGCTTTGAAACTGTTTTCTACTTTCTTAAAAAAAATGTTTTATGTAATGTGTACTAATCTAGGGTTTACATACTTAAATAACCAGAAACACTTATCACCAAAAAAGGACTTAAAATTTTGTCCACAGTGTCAGTTTTTGCATGAATGTAGGAGATCTAAATGTGAGAAGACTCCCTCTACAACTAAATCCATTTGTGTGGAATATTTCATTTATTGACCCCATACCTGATTATCATTTTTTTTAAATGGGCCTTTTATTTTGCCTTTACCCAAATCTAAATCATATCCATGACTGTTTTGTTTAAATAATTGAATGAAAATAAAATGTAAAAATTGTTCACATTTTTGTAGATCAATCCTGATATGACCTTGCCAACATTAGTAGATGGAGATTTTACATTGTGGGAAAGGTCAGTGCAATTTCTTCCACTTATGGAATGGCAACCATTTAAAATTAACTCACACAAATGTAACTGCAATTGATTTTTCTATGTAGTCGTCCTATAATGCAATACATGGTCAGCAAATGGGGAGGGAAGCACTCCTATTTATATCCTAAAGACCTTCAAAAGAGGGCCATATGTGATCGACTCATGAACTTTGACCTTGGATCTGTGTACAAAACAGTTACAGAATTCACAGTAAGTGAAAAACCATAAAATCTCTTTGATACTTGGTGCAATAATAACTAAAGACCTTTCTTGGGTTAACAGTACCCCAAGTTATTTCATTTGATACATAGTGTAATGAATTCAGTCAATAATGAGGCCTTTCTTGGGTTAACAGTACCCCCAGTTATATGTGTGATACATTTTGCAATGAATTTAGTCAATATTGAGGCTTTTCTTGGGTTTACAGTACCCCCAGTTATTTCAAGGGAAGCCTCCTGATCCTGACAAAGAGGCTGCCATGAAGAAAGCATTCGAATACCTCAACCGACATTTGGATGGTGGTCAACAGTACATGACTGGTGATAACCTCACAGTCGTAGACATCTCCATGGCAACCAATATCTCCTTGACTGAGATCAAAGGTTACAAACTGGACCAGTGGCCGGATCTGGCAATGTGGTACCGTCGAATGAAGGCCCTCCCTTACTGGGCCGAGTGTAATCGTGGACTGTACGAGTGGAAGTCCCCTCAGTGATAACAGAACCAAAAATACTCACAATGTTGATATAAATTGCACAAAATTTACACAACACTTACAAAATGAGAAACACAAAGGAATAAAATACACATTTTTATTTTATTTCATAGTGCATGAACATTTAACTGAAAAATAACCCAGAAGATTTTGGACTACAGAGCCGCAAATGTTGCTTGTTGATTTGTTATTATAATTTACAAATTTTATCTGGGTACAATATCACAGCCATGCATACATGTAAAACATCAATGCCACATAATGTACACTCTGTATGCCATGATCACTTTAAAATGACTAACAAATATTAATGCAGTGTCTAAACAATAACTTGCCTACAGTACAGTTTTTATTATTTTTGAAGACGACAACATTTGAAATATGTAAAATGCACTACATTCTTATAGTTCTTACATATATTTACACATATATACTTTTTAAAAAATAAGTTCTCAATAAAAATTAAAACCTGGAAGATGGTTGCCCAGCATATTTTATATCAGAGTTCCTTCTGACTTAAACACATGGTATTGTCAGGTGATAAAAATAACATACCAAGTTTATTAAGGAAGTTTTCCACTACCATAAAAGCAACAAACATTTCCAACAAAAATTGACATCTTGATGGTTTCATGTACATGTATTTTCAGTAAGTAAAATATATTTCAATTGAATCATTTTTAAAATGCATTGAAATATAAATTATGGTCAGAAAGTAAAAAGAACAGAGATGTCTAATAATAATGAAAAAATACTTTTACACAGTAAGTCGGTCTATACATTTGTCAAGTTTATAATCACTAATATTTATAATGGTATACATTTTGGTTGCATTTCTGTCTAAAGTTACACCTAACATATCCATGATTACACTACCTGGTGTATAAATGTCTTTCCTAACAGAATTAACAGTAATAAATTTTATAGGAAAAGATACTTTGATGTGAAATATCAACCCTGTAAGTGGCTATAGATGACTAAACATACCTTATTTCTATGAAATCAACGAGGACCCTCAATAAAAGATCTCAGAAAAACAAACAAATTTAAAAAAAAAAAAAAGGGGGGGTGTGAACCCTGAACCTGTTATCAAGGCCTGATGAATAAATCACCACACATGACCTTTGATAATGATAACTTGCCATGAAATTTCAACAAATGTATTTTAATGGGTGTTATGAAATTTGAATTGCAAATAAAAAATACACAAGGAGAGCAAATATCTGAAGAAAAATGTTTTTATCTGAAAAAATGTACACATGCAGAATAAGCAATATGAATTTAAAACAATACACTTGGACTGTATATCATATCAGGTTATTAGACATTGTTCATATACATGTAGTTAGGATTTGTTCATAAGTTATCTGGCCTCAGCACCGTAATACTACTGTCACTCCCCGCAGATCAAACATTCAAAGGACGTCTCATTTTTGTCTCAAATCAGCCACTTCAATTCTCTCTGTGTCCACGACACGAACATGGGAACAAGACTATAGGAATTAAAATAATGTTATTAGTGTAGCCCAAACATCATATCTATTAAGGTTCAGACCTCATTTTACAATAGAACTTAAAACTTGGACCAAAAACTTTAGCTGGTATAAAATCTTGCAAAATCAATTATCTGTAAAATATTGCTTGCATAAAACTATATTTCGAATTTCTTTAAAAATGGATTAATAACATTTTCAAATTAATGTAAACATGCACAGATATTGTATGGAAAATTACATTTTAGTCTAACTCTTAGACATAAGATACTTATAGTAAAATGGACCCCAGTATAATCAGCCTTCAGTAATTACATGTTATAGGTAACAGAGAGCAGAATATCAAGTATGCAATCTATGTAACCACTAACATGGTGTCAATGTTGCACAAAAATATAATTACCGGTAGGAACAAGAGGCCCACAGACCACTATACTCAGCTGAGTCACTGTGACCCTGCTGTTCATCTTAAGATTTTTTATAAATTCCCCCCTTTAATTTCATAAAAATTTTTACTCCATATTGTGGACCAAAACCTGATCCTAAATGGGCTTTTTAATTTTTACAAAGTTAAATCCACACAGCATTGGGATGAATCAAAATGATTAACATGGCCATGCTGTTCCTGAAAAGATACCCCCCCCCCCCCCCCAATACATAGGCTTTATGTAGAATTTGGGTCTCTGATTTTAGTCGATCTTTAATCCCAGGGTTCATAATTGAGGAAAACAAGAGGCCAAAGGGCCTTAATGGTCACCTGAGTATTATACAGGTACTGTGAGCAAGCATGCAAAATGATACCCCCTGCTGCATTTTTTTTAAGTGTCCATTCATATTTTGTAAATGTGACCTTGACATATGATAATTAAAACATAGGTAATCAGAGATTATAGAGCTCACCTCAATGAATGTTGTCTTTAAGTAAGGCAAAGTCCGACATTAAACTAATAATCTAGTAGTGTACATCCCAAAGTGCACCATTTATACAATTTTGATCTGATAGGGCTTGCAGTTACTTGGGAATGAACTTATCCAAAAACTTCAAATTAGTCACTCATCAAGAAAATGTAATTCAAATCCAGCATCTGAAGCAAGTTTAAGAGTGTTCATTCCTTGATGCATCATCCATGCAAGTTTGGTTCAGATAGGCCTTAATTAGTTTCTTGGTAATGGACCTACTTCTTTGTAAAATTTTGATCTCCTACTGTAGCCTCAAAGTATTCCAGGGGGCCCTGATCTGAACAAACTTGAATCTGAACTATCTGATGATGCTTGCATATCAATATGAGTAATAATTTCTTTTTTGTTTATTAGAGGAAGATTTTTCTAATACAATGTACATGTATATTCCCCTTGTAAAACTTTGATCTATCATAGCCCCACCCTAACCCCAGGGGGTCATGATTTGGACAAACTTGAACCTGCTCTACCTGAGGAAGCTTCCATATTAAAATGACTGATCATGGGTTTGCTGTTCTTGAGAAAAAGATCTTGAAAGATTTTTTTCTATATATTCAACTTTGATCGCCTATTGTGGCCACATCCTACCCTCAAGGGTCATGATTCGAACAAATTTGAATATACACTATGTCAGGAAGCTTAAACTTAATTTTCCTCTTTTCTGGCCAAGTGGTTCTTGAAAAGTATGTCATTAATTTATTCACTAATCCTTCATTATCTCCCCTTGAAAGAGGACATGACCCTTTATTGGAACAAAATTGAATTTCCTTTACTCAAGGATGCTTTGTGGCAAGTTTGGTTAAAATTGGCCCAGTGGTTCTGGAGAAGACGATGAAAATGTGAAAAGTTTATGACAACAACAGACAACAGACATTTTGCAATCAGCTCACTTGAGCCCTTGATTCAGGTGAGCTGAAAAGGTATGGTATGAGCAAAATTAGGCAACTCTCACCATCTATTTTCTGTTTGTTTACTTACATCAAACAATGGTGGTGTTTTTGTGTGTTGGTGAAATCCTCTCTCCCTGCATTGTCCAATCTCTGGAAGGCCTCGATCAGATGTCAGTGTAAATATTCCTGTCCTGTTCAAGTATAAATAATTTTCAAAAGATATCCCAAGAAAAATATTACAATGTATGTGAAAATCAGAAAATAAATACATGTAGGGAGAAAAGCCAAATTATAAAGCTCTAGAAAAATATTAAAATGTACATGTATGTGAAAATCAGAAAATAAATACCGAGTTGAAGAAAATCCAAAGTAAAGCTCTATAAAGTTAAATATGTATAGTAGTGAAGATTACTTACTCATTATACTTTGGTGCACATACAATAGCTATGGCCTCAGGTAACATAGCCTGGTACCCATACTGATTATGCATGTCTACACTAGAGAGGAAAGCTGTCTGGCTTGGATGTGTCTATAAAATCAAGCATAATCTACATGTACATGTTTTTTAGACGAGAGAAAATTTTCTGTCGACTAAAAATCACAAAATCTTAATAGATATCAGAGTAAATCCAGACTAAGTGATTTGCATCTTTGCAAGCTACGGGTTTTCGACACACTATACTCCCCGCAAATCCTGTTTGTGCGAAGCGTAGTGGACCTAAAACCCTTGGCTTGCAAAGATGAGTGATTTGATGAATACACCTACATGAATCCACCCCAAAGTGATGAGATCCCTTGGATCTTGGTACAAAAATAAGTCCTCCTCATCCTCTGCTACACATGTGTCTGTAGTTCCTGTCTGTTTAGGGACCAGCACATGTGTTATGTGGAAACTGTTATGTATCTACAGGAAAAAAAGGCTCCTGGCATTCACACTTTCAGAAAAGTTAAAGAATTCATTTATAACAGGTAACAAAGTGCTGGAAAATTGTTAATTTTTATCTACAGATAGAATAATTTTGGCATTCAAGCTTTAACAAAGAATAGTAATATGAACTGTATTTAACATGTAACAAGGCGATGGAGAAATTGTTACTTTTTATATAGAAATAAAATGATTCTGGGATTCAAACTTTCATTAAAAAAAAAAAATATTTATTATCATATAACAAATTCCTGGGAAAATTGTTAATTCAGAGGTAAGACTGTTTCTTAACACATTTTAAGTTAAAGAGTACAAGAATTTCAGTTTATAGGCTAGTACTAACCAACTTTCCAGCAAGAATACCACAGGTTTCAATATTTCTTAATGTGTTATGCTCCGCGAGCACCATAAACTTCCTCATCAGATCTGATGGGACAACAACTTCACGAAGGCCAGAGAAGCCGGTGCTGGTAAAGTGGTCAGGTTTGGTGCTTCTGTCAATATCTGGAACACCATTTCTAAAACAACACACACTGTTAATACTGTATGTGTACTTAAAAAGCGGACTTCATAGTTTAGCGGCTTTGCCACAGACAATGATGCACTAATTCATGAATACTGCTAAGAAATCATTTATAAATTATAAATATCATATATGGCAGGGACATGTGTAGTGTATCATCATGTATTCATGATTTCAACCAACAACTCCATACCCAGTGATTGCGCTAAATTTTGAATATGCCAATTTATGTACATGTACAGTATGTAAACTAAAAGTAGGAGCACTATACACATTCAGAGAGTCCCATTTTGAATAAGATTCAGTATATAATCATCATATGAACTTGCATTTGATAATCTGACAGACATAAATCTCTGTCTGTGACTGACACTTACATGGTTGGAGTGGAGTAATCAGAAATGACTAGGTTTTTCTTCAGCTCTCTATCAGGAATACTGGGATACTGAGAATCTTTAATCAGATTTTTCTCCACTGGTCTTTCCCCAAAGTCATTGTGTATATAAGTCAGATTCCCTCCTGTTGCAGATGGGCGCTGGTTATTCAACCCTTCCTTGTTGTCATTTTTCACAATTTTCTCATTACTTTCACTGTCTTGATCAATATTTTTCAGTAATTCTTTTTCTTTTAATTCCTGTAATTTGCGTTCCTGTTCATCTAGCCATTTTGTTTCGGCTTCACTTTTAGCCTGGATTTGTCTGGCTTCCTCTTCCTGTCGTCTAGCTTCCTCTTCTTGTCGTAATCTTTCTTGTTCTCTCTCTAACTCCTCTTGTATAATACGCTATACCAAAGCAGAAGCAAAATAATATTTGTAAGAATTTAAACAGTGATAGACAATTCCTGAATTATTTCTTGTCAAAGTGATAGGCATATTTGAATATAGCAATAGTGTTTATAATTTACAATTTCAGAAATAAATTTAAGTCAAAAACATAAATGAAATGATTTTTTTTATGGATTTTCCATTCTTATTACCTCTTCCTCTACACGTCTCTTTTCGATTTCTGTGTATCTCTTTTTCAAAATGGTTTTCAACTCTTCAGCAATAGGAAACACAAGCTTTACTTTCTATAAAGTAAAATAAATAATCACTTCAAGTTTCAGCATATATCACACTCTGCTTAAGTCCGCTGTGTTCCAATTTCTGCAATGATGATATAAATATACATGTATGTAGCACAGATTATAAAACAAAAAATATCTACACAGACTTACCTTCTTTATTGCCACAACATCACCAGCAGGAGCCGAATTATAGTCAGGATGTTTGGGTAATTTTTCCACAAACAGACTAAAGATAAATTTGAAAGTCATATGTTTGTTGAAACAACTGAAAATTGCAAAAGCCATGGAAAAAAACCTAATACACAAGAGACTTTATCATCACTAAACGTATCAATGAGTATTTCGAACTTTTTTTTTAATTTTTATTACATGTATTATCTTTTTTAGGTGCTATTTTTCCCTCTATACAATGCCATTTACCTTGAAGACCATTTGAAACATAATTTTAATGCTCTAGAAAATAAATTGCTTATAGAGAAAATAAGAATTCCTCTCATTCATGATGATGTAAGACATAATGCAACCCATGTATTACAGAGTAAGATTTTCTTATCTTGTATAATATGATGTCATAAATAATTTTGTGATGTCACAACAGATAACTAAATGTAAGCATGTAAGTGATACACAAGACAGTACAATGGTTATTTGAGTGCACGCTTTGATAAATGTTTTATCTCCTTCATCTTTAACATTTGGATTTACACTTGCAGTATACACTTGTATATGGTACATTTGTTTTAACTGTGGCTTTAGATTTTTTTTATACATAATTTTATTCACAAAAAGTGAATGGGATTATGCAGCACGCATATACTTTTTTTTAGCCCTCTCCCTACATCAAGGTCAAGGTGAATACACACTTTAAGTGTAAAATTAATTAAACAATAAAACAATCACTATAGAAAAAGATTTATATATAGAAAAAGGCTTTAGATTTGAAGTCCTAGAATGGAAGTATAAGAAATTTATATAATATGTTTGGGTTCTTATGACAACTTCAATTGATTTGATAAAACTTTAGTAATGATAAACAAATAATCATTCAATATGTTTGAGTGTAAGAAAGATAAAATCCTGCCCTTAGAGATCTCGTTTGTACTAGCTTAGAAATAGAACTTGGCAACCCTCATTCATCCCTGTGATTCCACTCCTACATTGACCTATAGTAGTAGTTTTAAATGATTCTTGTAATATAGTTCAAAACACTTTGTTGAAGAATTTACTTTGTTGGACCCTAGGAATCATAATACATTTGAGTGCTTATTTAGGGCTTTGAATTCAATGTCACGCTAGAGCCTCTAATGCCTTTACATATATAAAAAAATTTCATGTTACTCTGAGAAATTGCAGATTGGACTGCATGCTTTTATGCTGCATTTGTATGGAACGCCAAATTAACATATATTCAAATATTTGAACCTATCTTCAAATATTTGTACCTATCTCCAAATGAATTGAAGATAGGTACAATTGAACTAAAGATAGGTACAATTGAATTAAAGATAGGTGTAAATAATCATACCTATCTCTAAATATTTAAACCTAGGTTCAAATAAATTATACCTATCTTTAATGGAATTACACCTATCTTCTATTCAATTAAAGATAGGTTTAATTGAATTATACCTATCTTCAATTCATTTGAAGATAGGTACAATTGATTTAAAGATAGGTATAATTGATTTGAAGATAGGTACAATCGTAACATATCCACAGACGATTTGAAGGTAGGTACAATTCAATTATACCTAGGTTCATTTCGTTTTTTGTTATTGAAAATAATGAAAGCTCCCTCTAACAATGACTTGAACATGGAGGGAACTGCACAGTGAATTTTTATGGGGAGTAGTTGTTATTGTCAGTATCTTTATAATTAAAGATAGGTTCAATTCATTTGCACCTATCTTTAAATCAATTATACCTATCTTTAATTCATGGCATTTGCACCTGTCTTCAAATCAATTGTACCTACAATGTATCTTCAAATCAATTGTACCTATCTTCAAATGAATTAAAGATAGGTATAATTGAATTAAACCTATCTTTAATTCATTTGGAGATAGATACAATTGATTTGAAGATAGGTACAATTGATTTGAAGATAGGTATAATTAATTGAAGATAGGTTCAAATATTTGAATATAATATGTTAATTTGGCGTTCCATACATTTGGAAATGATTACGCCAAGTAAGAAAAAATTTCTTGCGCTGAAAATCCTAAAAACTGTTTTTAAAATCATAAATTTTACTGCAAAACTTCAAGTATTCTACAATATCTCTAAATATTTTAATTTAGTACATATTTCTTTAGACAATACAATAAACTGTTTTCATTGTCTGACAGAGTAAATCAAAAAACTTACGATATGAACTTTGTATACAGAATGAATGCTTGCTCATAGTTTTTTTCATCCTGGTAGACTTTTGCCATCCTCAGCATTTCATGACCAGATCTGAGGTACCTCCTAGGGGGAATCTGAGGGTCAATCTCCACTTTACAGGCATAATTACATAATTCCCTCACCCTGGCTCCAGGGTCTCTGATGTGAGAGGTGAGGGAAACATCTCTTACGGCAACTTGTGCCATGACAACCTATGAAAATAAATTAGCTTGAAAAATTCATTTACAATACCTCAACAATAAAGTGAATACAATACAGTAAATGAAATTAAGTTCATTCACTCAAAATAAACGATTGGGTATCATACAAAACTATCATATAAAAAATTCAACTTCTTTCTAATTTTAGGAATTACTGAAGCTCTTGTGTTCACTGATCATATATCAAAATATTTACTACACCTATAATTAGATCAATGTTCTTGTTAAAAATTTGTCACATCTTACCGACAGGAACTGGGAAAGTTATTTACAAATAATTTGTCATCTGCAAATTTTCTTCCTACATTTTGTTTACTTTTTTTTGGCATGATGCTCTATTAAGTTGAAGCTTTAGTAGGTCATACCACAAATGTGTCGCACAGTTGCTCGGGGAAGACAAATTAATAAAAATAAAGATATTGCTTGTACCACAGAAATAAATAAATACATGTACAGTGCCATGAATCTCTCTGTACACTGCACAAATGCAATACATAATTCTTCTTTTCAGCGCTAGCAGAAAAGAGTGAATTTTAGATTTCAACCCGGTTCTTCCTTTATATATTTTTATACGTTTTATACGTCATACATTCTTCGGTACGAAAGCCTATTAGGATCAATCTATGGAGAAAAAATTTTTTATAAATTATAACGTCTTCCGAAAAGACGTTATCAGGCCCGTAGGAAGCAATTTCACTTTGAGGGGGCACAGCCATACATTTTCAGTTTTTTTTGGGGGGGGGGCACTATCAACTACCCGGCAAAATTCCTTGACAAGCCAAAAAAAAAAAAAAAAAAAAAAAAGAAGAAGAAGAAGTCATCAGACGTTATTATTGACGGGACACAAGCATATAATAGTTACGTTTTCTATAGTATTCTATATATCGGCAAAATTATGGGGGAGGGGCACGGCCCCCGTGTCCCCCCGGTTCCTACGGCCATGGTAATAACACAAAAGAGCGTAACAACGCGAAAAAAAAGTTATTACGCCTTTTCAAAAGGCGTTATTACGGCCTTTCCAAAAGGTGTTATCACGCCTTTTATTCTCAATACATGACTAACTTAGCCCATCCCGGGGGCTGAAATCTTATCCTCGGGACATGAATTTCACAATTAAATATAGGGCTATTTTCTCAAAAAATTATTTAAACATATTGTGATTAAATTTCAAGGAAAAAAAAAGATTTTTTTAAATGTGTAATATATTTTCAATGTTAAACCAACTTAGTCCTTCTCTGATGCCAGACACCTCTACCAAGGATCATGGATTTCACAAAATTGGTTGAAGGCTAATTGCTCATTATACCCATGCAAGTTGTTTGCCTGCTTTTTCCCAAGAGGAGAAAAAAATATTTTCAAATTTGACATGAATTTTTAATACATGGTCAGCAAAGCCCCAAGCTGCATCTGCCTATATCCTGGATTTTCACAAGTAGAGTGTTGACTTCTCTTAATACACATGCAAACAGTTGTCTGCAAGATGTGCAGGGATATAGAAAATACTTTATATTGCATAGATAAAATGGCTTTGATTCAACCTATTATGTATTTATTAATGTAAAATAACGCCTTTCCATTTTTGGATATAAAGCCTTTTCAAAAAAGCCGGTAGTACGAGTGCGAGGGGGGAGGGGGGGGACTTAAAAAGTTGTTACAATAAAGATTCTGACACTTTCAGACAAAAAAAAAAAATGTTTGAAAAAACTTACCATACCTAGAGTTTATGTATATAGGTGTGTTACGATTTTCAGAAACATGGTTTTCTTGTCTGAAAGTGTCAGAATCTTTATTGTAAGAACTTTTCAAGTGTATTTAAAGTAGATTCAAAATTTTAATAGTTCATTTTACATTTAACAATCCGGGAGACAAGCCCCTATGATAGCAGCCACCGTAGCTATAGCTTAAATGACTCAAAAAACATTTTTTTTAATGAAGGCTTTACCAGCTTTTCTCACGGAACCCTCCCATTTTAAAGAATCTGGATCAGCAAAACGCGAAATGAAAATGTACAAGTTAACTAAACCTTTAATGTCAATTAAAATAGTCGCTAGTATTTTAGTTAAGTGATGATGTTTTTTAACATCTGAAAAAGCATAGACCTTTGGTATGGTAAAAGAACATTCTGTTTTTTTATTTATCTTCTAGACATAGTAGTGCATCACGAGATGAGCATTTGCTGCGAGACATATCTGACGGAAATTACCGATTGGCTCCAAAGAGAGTGCGAGTCCAAACGAAAAATTTTCAGATTTTTAATTAGTGATTTGGAATCATTATATTTGAAGGTATGTTGTAATTTTAGTTACATTTATCAGTTAATGTTGTTGTGATCTACAAATTAGCTTGAGACATTGCATCGTTATATTGCAAATGCAGGACGGAAAATGACATCTGTAACGTTAGACGTTGTTACAGGCGCAGCAAAATATCGTGAAGGGAATTTAATATTTTGTGATTAAGTCATGTCATCCAAGAATATTTTCTCTATGGCAAGTGTGAAAAATGACTTCCAATTCTATTTATACATGGGAAATTATCAATTGATAGAACTTGTGTAGAGAGGTGTCACTCCACCCATGCATTTGCTGGTCTACTTGCATGTTTAAATTTATATCAAGTGTTCCTTAATGGTTGGAAATACAATGCAGAATTTTGAGTAATTCTTAGTTAACCTTTTCACTCAATGAATTATGCACTGAAATCCACTTATTTTTTAAGTACATCATGAAATAGTGGTATGTATTTGCACTACACACTGACTCATACATTCCTCATATTGCATAAGAAATAGGCACCACAATGTGATGTTTAAATAATATAAGTGCTGTTATAACAAATGTTTTCTGCATTTTTGCAGTCAAAAAGAATTTCCCATAACTACTCATTTCATTAGTATTATTTTGATTAATCACACACACCTCAAATTATTTAGAAATTAGTGTATACATTTAACAGTATCAGGTTCGTTCACCCTATCTACCTGTTCGCATGAGTCCTTTCGCGCAGGGTCCGTTCGCCATTATTCTTGTTCGCCCTATATCTCGTTCGCCCTGTTTCTCGTTCGCCATATTATATATATAGTATATAGTAAATATCAACATTTATTATTATTAATTTTATTCAATATTTTACGACTTAGTGTTGTTTTTTTTTTCAAATGTTGCTACAGTATTTTTTTAATTTACCATAATCTTAATTAAATAATTCAAATTTGATATTTTATGCTCTTTACATGCTTAATTGATTTAATTGTACTTAATAATGTCACTGTAATTTAGGGGATCATACAATCTGCGTTATGTTTTGAAAACAATTAAAGGACTGAGATGTTAATTTCTGTTGGTCTGCTGGGTCTTTGATAGTACAGGTATTTATAGTGTGACCACATGCATACGACTGTTGTCTCCCGTGTGCAATTTATGTACCAATGTACATACAATTTATTTAAAAAATCCATTGGTTCATTATTCAACTTTCTGCAATATAAATAAGGTGAATGGACCCTGTGTGAAAAGTTTTAGCATGTTTAGGGCGATTGAACTCTGGGCGAACGGGAATTAGGGTGAACGGCATCAAGGGCTAACAAGTTTTAGGGCGAACGAACATACAACCACATTTAACATATAATAAGTAGTAATAAATACACCCCATTGACCTCGGCCTTGATATTTGACATTGAAAGTTAATAAAAAAAAAAACTTCATCATTGTTTAGTATGATCCACTCCTATCATCTTGTTAAAATCAAGATAAATAAGATGTTACAGTCAGATTGAAATAGAAAAACGTGTACCACTATTGGATTTGAAGTTGGCTTTGACATTTGACTCAATGGTTTTGACAATTATTCTTGTCAAGGACAGCCTCTAATATGATAGATTGATAGATCAGGATGTTGTAATTCACATGCTACCATTGGGGTTACGTAGGCCTGGAGCATGTGATTGGTACTAAATTAGGCATATTCGTGTTATATATGACTTGTTCATGCAGATCATCATCTGTTTTCACACATGTTTATGTTAATCAGGATGAGATGTGGTTTGAACACTCCCATTGGAAGTGATCTTGATATTTGACTTAAACTGGCAATTACACATATTTCTTGAGGATGTGAATGAATTATCATTTTCATTTATCTTGGCCTTGAGATGTGACCATATTATTAGTGAATTAAAGACATTTACTTCTTTGTATATTGTCTATTTTGATTACTGTATAGGGGATTAATTTCATGGGTTGTAATTTTCACGTTTTTCTCTCCTCGAACACGATCGCGGTTTGTTGAATTCGCGAAATCGGTATATAATAAAAGTTACCTCCCTTGTCTTTATCCGTGTAATCCATAGTATACCTAGAACGACATTAATCAGCGTTCACGAACAACAGGGTAGGTTTATATAAAATGAATAGATTTAGTAGTTAATTGGTGATTAATAAAAACAAGTGCTGTTATTAAGTTTTTTTTTACTATAAACGTCAAATGAATTTCCTATATGCTTTTACGATGAGTGCATATGTACACATCTTTCCGAAGGTATAGCACATCGCAGCAAAAAAAAAAAAAACACTGGACGCTAATAAAAGTATTAATGTATATACATAATAATATCCTTCCATATCTTCAGCAAGGTCGATAGTTATTCGAATGGTATTTTTTTTAAACCAAAATTTCCATAAAAACTAATACGCATAATGCTAATGTAGGTAACAAATACAGGTGGTAACGTTACGCACGGGTAATCAAAACCAATGACCCATGTGTTTTGATTGATGCAGCATGTATATATTAAAACGGCTTTTTAACAATAAATACAGGTTATTAGCTGCTTATTTAAATTAAAGTAAAGCGTGATAATTAAGATAATTGAATGACAAGTACTACTCGTAATTACTGAAATGACCATGTATTGTACGTATATATACCTATCTTAGTCTATTCTCAAATTTCCAAATAAAACATTGAGGTTTAATATTTAAAACTTATTCACTGTTTCTTGAATTCACGGATTGATTAACACCGTGAATATAGCGAATATTAACACCGCGAGTTATTTTCCCCCTATACAGTATCACATTTTAATTTAAAGTAATTGAAAGTCAGTTGGATGTCTTCAATAAATATATCAAAGTTTATCCAAGCCTTAACCTTTGTCCTAGATATTGGTAATTGATAGACATACCATGCTGACAAAAACCAGCTTATTTTAAGTGGCTACTGTATTTGTGAGTCCCAAGTAGCTAGCTTATATAATGATTAATTTGAGCCTCATATTAACAAACAGTACTGGAAAACTGGTTCTGACAAATTTTTGAGACTGAGAGGTTCTTACTAACTTCACACCCCCTCCCTCCCCCCCCCCCCCCCCCATACACACAAGCGAAAGTAGTTCATTGTAACCACATTTGTGGGTAACCTGTCATATCTGTCATCTTCAAGTTCCTTTTATAGATAAATTAAGTTGTAACTTAATGAATAGCAAGTTTTATGTTGACTTTGTCCTTATCTTTGACATTTTATTTTTAGTCCACTACCGGTGAAACTGGAGGGGACTATAGGTTTCCTCTGAGTCTGTCCATCCATCTGTCTGTCTGTCCATCTGTCTAGCTGTCCCTCTGTCTGTCTGTCAGTCTGTCCCACTTGGTTTTCCGCATTTTTTTTCTAAAGGCTTCAGTGATTCATTTTGAAAATGGTTATCATGGGTCCAAAGGACCCCTCTTAATGACAACAATGAGTCCCGTGCCAAAATCAATGCGTCCAAATCCAAGGGTATTGTGTATTAGATGTTACAGAGGAAATTCTGGTGAAATGAAAAGGGTAGGCCTATTGCACGAAAGTGCAAATGTTTTATTGTAGCTGTCACTAGCTGTGAGTGATTTATACTTTTACTATCAATTGTCCAAGTAAGAGTAAATGATTTTGTGTCATAAAAATAATACATTGTCCACTGTGCACTTTGGTTCTATTTTTAGATTGTACATATGATCTCACACATTGTATCAGTCATAAAATGCACAAAAGCAGAATGAAGTTAAAAAAGGTTAAGAAATGACAAATAGTCAGAAATAAAAATGATTAAATTTTATACTTCTTAGCTTGTAAGGAAAAAACGAAAAGAAAAAAAAAAACAATGATACAGGTTACAGCTTAAATACAAAGGTATAGTGTTCACTTCAGAAATGTTCCACGGTATCTAGACATAATCAGTGATAATCAAATTATGATATCTAACTCTCAAATATTTTCTGATAATTGCTTTTAACTGCAGCTGTGAAATCTGACCAGTTGTTGGCAACCTTATACCTGTTAAGATCATTCATGCATATCACTTAGCACGTGGATATGATGCAATTGGTCAAGTTTTGAATCAGATTATAACAATATAATTTAAAATATTACATGTCCTTCTATAAATTTACTGTGTCCATTGGGATGCACATTTATTGAAATAATGCGTCCTGGGCAAAATTTGTGCGTAATTTACAAGTGTGCATTTCGTTCCGCTCCAATGATTTTTGACAGAATTAAGACCTTTTAAATTTTTCAGGGTTTTCCGCAATTTTTTTTCTAAATGCTTGAATATATTGAGCTGATTTTTGGCATGTGACTTTACCTTGATGAGTTATAGATCAAGTTCACATTTTGATCTGCTTCATTGATTTTTGATGGAATTGTGGCATTTTCAATTTTTAACGGGAACCAGATTACACTTGCCGGTAGGGGACTAGTATAGATGGTTTTCCATCAAGGTGATTTAAGCAAGAGTTGTTTCCCATGGCCGCCATATTGTAGGTCAATATCCCCATATCCCTTCATTATTCAACCAAGTTCAGTTTGTTATACTGGGCACTGAGGTGAGGACAACACTGTTTTTCTTATGAATATATGTTTGTTAATGCTACTTTTAATTCATAATTTCAATATTGTAAATATTTTTTACCATATATTTTTGGCATGCATTTTTAAAATTGGTTGCTCAAAGAGGAAAATTCACTACTTTGACCTACAAGATGGTGGCCAAGGGGAATAACTCTGAGGAAAAATATGTCATAGGAAAACCATCTATTGCTAATGCAATACTCTCAGAATGCTTGTTTATTTACTGAACTTTTATTTACTGAACTAGTAAATAGATTGCAGAGGTATGCTTCTGTTTCAGTTCTTACTTTACTGGACAAACTGGTCAAACCAACAAGGATTTCTTTGTATAAATATATTGAAAGTACAATATATATATATATATATATATATATATATATATATATACAATATATTATACAATTAT